TGCGACGGGGATGGGACTGCTTTAGACCCCGTGTGATAAGGTCCTTAGGTTTGAATTTTACTAGTGACTCCCAAGTAGAGAAGCTGAATAATCCAAGTGCCTCTGTAAAAAAATATGCCCTGTAGTTTGGAAGCAGGTTGGGGATAGAGATCAAAATACAATGGATTATTTTAAGGCAGGGGTCCTCAAACTACAGCCAGCGGGCTGAACCTGGCCTGTCGAGGCCTTTCAACTGGCCCGCAGCTGGTCCTGCCTCCGCCGCTGCCGCCATGCTGCCACCGCACACGCATGCGACGCAGGGTGCCGTTTTGGAACACAAAACAGCACCGGAGTTCTGTGCATGCATGTGTGTGCGTGTGCACCTCCGGCGCCATTATTCCCCCAGCCCTCCGAAGATCTGGGGGCCAGCGAACTGTCACCCGGCTGACAAAGTGTGGGGACCTCTGTTTTAGGGTATAGGCAGGACCTGATATGGGAACTGTAGAGGTTGAGCATCTGTTGGAATGCTGTGCCTCCCTGGTCTCCAACCTGCATAATCTGTAAATTAAAATGGAAAAACTCTGCATCTTGAAATGATCCTGCCCAAGTTTTAAGATCCTTGTGGGAGGGCTTTATCTCAGTCCCACCACCACAAGCACACTTGGTGAGGACACAGGAGAGAGCCTTCTCAGTGGTGGCTCCCAGGTTGTGGAATTCCCTCCCATGGAAGACTAGGTGGGCCCCTCTTTGCTGTGACAGCAAACAAAGGCCTTTCTATTTACCTAAGACTTTGACTGCTATCTGTCCATTACGAAAGGTATTTTAATTGGTCTGTGCTGTGTATGATTGTTTGTTTAATTGTTCAACTGTTGTATTATCCATTTTTATAACTTATATTGTGAGCCACCTTGGGTCCCATATTGGAGAAAGATGATATAAATCAAATAAAACAATGGGCAAGTTCATTCTTCCTATGTAACAGCTTTCAAGAAGATAGCTGTGTTAGTTTGTTTCAGCACGAGAAGGAAAGTGCAGGTAGAGGGAATCTATCCACACCTTTGAGACTGATATATTTCCGAAGAAGCTTTAATGGGAGACAGCATGGCATAGTGGTTTGAGCACTGGATTATGACTCTGGAGACCAGCATTCAAATCCCCACTCTGTCATAGAAACCTACTGAGTGACCTTGGGCAAGTCACACTCTCTCAGCCTCATAGCAAGGCAAAAGTAAACCTTCTTTGAACTAATGTTGCAAAGAAAACCCTGTGATAGGTTCACCTTAAGGTTGCCATGAGTTGAAAACAAAGATGTGCAACAACAACAAGCTTTCATGGACTACAGTCCACTTCTTCAGAGGCATTAAAGTTTATGATGTTATCAGCTAATAATAATAATAATATTTAGTCACAAAGGTAAGTAGTTTTTATTACTTCTGTATCACTGGCAGCTGCTTTTAACCACATTGTGCTGTGTATAGAAAAGAAAAGCAATTGGCTATAACTATGGAAGCAGAGAACTAGTGAAAAGGGGGGAAAAAGAAAACACATGCTTATCTATAACATAGTCCAATATTCTCCCACTATTCAAGGGAACTTTAGGTTTAGAAAGAGAAAATATTGGGCTGTTGCTGGCAATTGCCTTGTGTGGTCTGAATCTAACAAAACTTGTGAGTTGAGAGGCAAATGAGTAGAATGAAATGCAAATGTTATGTCCCCTTGAGAAGAGGCACAAGTTGTCCGTGTACAGGGCTATGAAAAGGTCTTGGTGATCATCATGGAGAAACAAAGAGGGATGCATTTTCTTGGCACAGTTGCCCATTGTTTCTGTGCCAAGGCCTTTGCTTGTCTTCTCTGAGAGGAGCTTTACAGGCACTTTTTGGCATATCCTATAATTTCAACTGCCTTGCTTCTAAGATATTTTGGACTTGGGTCCTCAGATTTTCCTGCTTTCTGTGATTCCCTCCCTGCACTTTTCATCCAGCATTTATCATTCACAGCCAGAGTTGGAAGAGACTGCTGCAATCACAGAGGCCTCACTGTTCTCAGTCTTCAAATTATGGTAAAGGTTCCCTCTGCTGTGATCTGCTTTCACCTACTTAGTGACAGAATATCATGTTTCATCTTTTAAATTTTTCCTCTGCCAATATGTTTTTCTTTTTAATATAAATTAAAAAGATTTGACCTAAGATTAACCATCTGCTAGTGGAAGGACCATACATACAGATGTTCACCCACCTAATTTTGAGGAAGCTTCCCCCTTTCTTCCCAACCATAGCCTACAGCACTCAACAGGACTTCATCTCTCTATCTCTCTCTGTGGCATTTTCAGGTGGTTTGAGGAGTGGTGTGAGAAGAGAGGAGTAGGGAAGCATGATTAAGTATGGGTACTGATCTAACGTATGCTTTTTTTTACTGTTTGAATTTGTCTTTACATTGTCCCAAATTGTTTTTACATTGTTGTTGTTTCTGTGTCCCACCCTGAGATTTTTTTTAATACAGGCTAGGTCACAAATATTTTAAATAACAAAAAAGCCCACGATTGTCTGTCCAATTGCAGGAGCCTAAATCTGGATCCAGTTCTACCTGTCTAGAAACTATTTTGGCTTCCATTTCCAGGGACCCTTGATAGTGTCCATCAGACCATAGCTCCAACTGGGTGGCATATAGGAAAAGGCAAAAGGGTTATCCACAGGTCCTGTTAAATCCTGTTTCTTGGATGTTTATCAGGTCTTTCAAGCAGTCTGTTTGTAAGGAGAAGCCATGGCGGTGGCATTAATGCAGCTCTGCACCCATGGTTCTCAACATTTGGTCTTCTAGCTGCTTTGGACTTCTGTTCCTAGAAATACTAGCCCATGTACCCCATGATGAGGGATTTGGGGGGTTGAAGTCCAAAACATCTGGAGAAGTGAAGGTTGAGAAATGTGGTGTGACACTGGGTTGAATCCTATTGGTTTGCATGTTCAGCTTAGTGAAGAGAAGACTGAAGGGTGACATGACTGCCCTCAAGGCTGTCACAGAGAGGAGAGGGCGGGCCTGTTCTCTGCTGCCCCAGAGGGTCTAATAGTAGTAGAACTTGGTCTAATAGTTTTAGGTTACAGGTGGGTAGATTTCTATTGAACATTTGAAGGAACTTCTTGATGATAAGAGTGACAATGGAACCAATTACCTATAGAAATGATGAAATCTCTTTCTTTGAATGTCTTTGGAAAGAAGCTAGATAGCTATTTGCTGAGGATGCTCTAGCCATATTTCTCGCATTGAGCAAGGGTTGGACTCAATGGCCTACTCTGTGATTCTACAGTTCCATTGAATCAATTGTTGATTCAATGAGAAAACACATGGGTAAATTCCATAAATTCCATGGGACTACTATAGTTGGAACTAATAATAGGGTTCAGGACAGAATGTATTGGCAAAGAGTGAACTTTTTCTTCAATAAAGGTTTTGTGAAGATAGCATCATATGAGACAAACCCCATGATAGGTTTGCTGCAGGCTCACCATCAATCAGAAATGTCTTGAAAGCACACAACAACAATGAAATATCTGTATCGCAATATTTCAGGTCAGGGTACAGATAAACAGGCAATGTAAAACAGTTTCAAAAACTCTATTTAAAGCATGTTAAGGCAGAGAGAGGGAGATTCGAAATTGAGTTCTTATACAGAACTCCATAGTCTCTAATTGTACCAAGATCTTTAGCGCTCAGAGTTTCTATAAAGAACAGTGTTTGCCAGTGAAATGAAGTAAAAGCATTTTAAAAAAACAAACAATAGGACCACAATGGGATGATATTCCACAACTCAGGTGCCACAGCAGAGAAGACTTTCTCACATGTCTCCCATTAGAGAAACAAGAGAGCCAGAGAGACATTGTGTGAGACACAGAAGAGTGACTCACCTCCAGCACCACATCCCAAATTAGTCGGTTTTCCTTCTATTGGTTTTGTTCACTGTCCAACTCTCACATCCATACATGCTGATGGGGAATATGATGGTTCAGACAATCCTCACTTTAGTATTCACAATTATACCTTTACACTTTAGGGCAGGGGTAGGCAACCTAAGGCCCGGGGGCCGGATGCGGCCCCCCAAGGCCTTTGGACTGGCCCCAGGCAGGTCCTGCCGCCACCGCCGCCACACCCTGCCGCCCACCATGATGATATTGATTATTGTTGTTATTACTTGTTCTTGGGGTTTTCTTGGCAAAATCTCCACAGGGGTTTTGCCATGGCTTTTCTGGGACTGAGAGAGTGTGCATGCATATTTTTAATTTATTTTTTTAAAAAATATATATTTTTATTATTTATTTATATATTATTATTATTATTATTTTGGTGCTTTGGCCCCCCAATTGTCTGAGGGACAGCAACCCGGTCCCTAGCTCAAAAAGGTTGCCTACCCCTGCTTTAGAGTCTTGCTCAGTTCTTTCATAGCTTCCCTTCCCAGTCCTAGTCTTCTAATTTTTTTTACCACAGCCACTTTACTATTGAGAGAAATAAATTTAAATTTGAATTAAACATTAAAAAAAGGATAATCAAAAGGCGCATAAAAAGAGTTAAGAACCCATAGGTACCGTTGAAAAACATGTAAACCTATATACTCACATATTACTTACTTATATACTATATATTAAATATATCAAGTATATTTTTCAGATAAAGTTTTTTTTTATCTCATGCACACTTTACAAAAGGTGTTTGGGGCTTTAGGTTTCTAATTATATAAAACACTTGAATACTGTCATTTGTAAACACGTTGCTTTGAGATTGGCCAAATGTGTCAAGAATAATTGGGCTGATTTATAATAAGAAATGCCCAGTTTGAAATAGGGAGGTAGGCTGAGTCTGAAACATAGATAAAAGTGAATGGATTTATAGTTTCATCCTCATTAATTGCAAGGACAGCATTTCTTTCTAAAGGTAATTGAGAGGTCACCAAATGGACACAAACTGATTCTGCGCAATTGACTCGTGCATTATTCTGGCCCACCCATGCACAAATTATCCCTATTTTAAATGGTCATGAGATGTATCAACAGATATGTTGTGGGTTGGGGTTTTACATATATGAAAAAGGTGGTCTTAAAATTGATCATATGCCTTAACTAGCCAACAATGTGGAAAAATACTGCCAGAGAAATGGAATAAAACTATGCTGGGTCAAGTGTGGGGTGTGCCTACTTGCCTAGGACACCCCTTCTTGCAAGACTGTAAATAATAAATTGGAAATTACTGCTTTACTTGCTTTGTCCTGATTAATTGATTTGGTACTTTGGTACTTAGAAAACTGTATCCCACAGCTATCATATAGAAAAAAGTTTTTATTGAAATATGCTTGTAGTGATAATCATTCAAAACTATACATTTATTTAAATAAGAAAAACTAGGTGGGTTGGGTTCCTTCACTTTTGGTAGTTGAACAAAAGAGGAAACTTCAGTGGAGTAGCTAAAATGACAAATTATACCTGGCTAACATTTCCTCTTCTGTACAAGAAGCTCTGACTCCCTTTTCTATCTGATCATCCTAATGGCTGTTGGTCACATTCAAAATGACATCCACATTTAACAGATGCTATCTAATCTGCCATTACTGGGGCATACCTAAAACAAACTCAGTTGTTAGGAATCTCAGCTCTCATGTGAAGAGGGACTTATACCTCGAATATTTTGATCCCTTGGGTAACAGGCACCCAGCAATCCCTTGCAACACTGAAGATCCCAGGGACACAGTACAGCAAATATCTCTTGGATCCACACAGCTTCATTGATTCCCCTAAACATTTTGTCTCATTTTGTGACCTTGACTTGCTTGGGCAATTGAGATGGCCCTGGAGACAAGATGAACAATGTCTGAGACAAGCAAAAATGGAGAACCATCCTAGTTCAGTCTTTCAGATATAACCTCAGGGAGTTACAATACAGAAATTGCAAAAAGTTCAATGCCTTAGTCCAAGTGCTGGTTCCAGACAAACTAGATTCATAAAACTAATTCTTGAATGGTAAGTCAGCACTTGATTCAATGGGTCTATTTGGGGCTGAGAATAATGTGTAGTTTGAGTTTGAGTACTCAATTGGAACAAATGCTGGGAATTGCAGTCCAAGAATATATGAACAGCCCCACAGTTTCCATCCTGATTCAGGCCACTGAGTTCAGTGGGATTTACTCA